AGTACCTAAACTATCTCGTCACACTCGTAAAATTTTATCAAATGAAGTTGGGATGAAACAATTCCATCTGTAAAGTTGTAGTTAAAGTACAACAGAAGAATGTGCTAGGGACACAAATGATTTTACATCTTCGAAAAACGATTTTTAGTGGTCAAATAGTGATTTTGAAGTGTCAAGTCACAGTTCAATAGAACAACACCTAGATTTCGAGTAACATAGCAAAAAAAGTAAAAATAAATACAGACTGAGTGCAAATGTTTAAAATTCTTTTCACTCAATTACCAGACTTAGCAACAGGTAGAACCAACAGATTTGCAAAGCCAAAGCACGCAACCAAACCTGCTGACAAGTCGTTTGATGTATCTGCAGATGACATACAAGTTAAATATTGTGTTTTTATGAGATTAAGCCACAATTGACTGTAATGATAATAATATACAAAATATACTACAAAAATTTGAGATTTCAATTTTCACTCCGAAAATCGTTATCAAAAAAGACTCTTGGCCGCGGAGTTACAGGCAACAGCAATGCTTTGGCTAAAAACATATGGGGGTGGAGCTTTGCCCTATAAAACTTGCACCACTAATTATTTCAAGCATTTTGCCTTATTAATATGTGCTGCAAGCGTTTGTGTGTGAAAGAGTGTTCGTGTATTGAATATGTGTGTTGTGTGTGTTGTATATATTGTGTATAGTTGAAGACAAATGTGTCACGAGTTTCTTAATCCGCTATTATTGATATAATCTGGTTGACTTCTTCTTTCAGTATTGGCAAAAAAGGCCGCCTGCTACATTCTGCTAATCGGTTAGCTACCCCCTTTTTCTTCATTGAGTAGGATGAGGGCTGCTTCTTTGATTTTTTTCATGTTTGTTTGTTAATTGATTATTGATGTATCTTTCCATTGTACTTAGTATTCGTTGTCCCAGGTATGTTTGAATATCTGTGATTGAACATTTTTTAAGAATTAATCAAATTTACCTTGAAGGAAGAAAACAACAATTCCATTTCTTTTTTGGATGTCCTAATCACAAAAGAGGAAATAGCATATGCAACCAAAGTGTACACAAACTCAACCCACATCAATAAATATTTTTAAATTACCACTCAAATCACAACATAAACATTAAAAAAGGAAAGATTAAATCATTATCCGAAATCACATGTTCTAATAAAAAGAAAGTTTAAGAAAAAAGAAGCTGCTAACAAAAGTTTCAACAAAAAATGACTACCCATTGTCGTTAATTAACAAGGAATTCCATAAGATAGAAGAAAAAAAACAACAAATCTTAAAGTAACTAGAAACACTCATAAAAACACTCACAAATGACAACAATATTATTTGTAAAGGGCGTATCAAAAAAATTAAGAAGGATTGGTAATAAGTACAACATCACAGAAACATTTAAAACAACCAATACACTCAGCTCTAAAATGTAAAAAAGCCAAACCCAAGAGTACACAAAAGAGATCAAAGAACTGCATCTATAAAATACCCTGTAAATGCAAGAAAGAATTTTCATGTGGGAAAAACCGTAAAACCTTTAAGTGTCAGGATAAACGAGCATAAAACATACATCAAAAACAGGGATTTCGACAAATCAAAGATACGCTAACATGTCCGGAACAATAAACACAGATTTCAATGGAAATATACATCAATCTAAATTAACCGAAAAAATAGTTGTCCTTCAATATGCACGGTTTTACCAAATAGAAATAATTACTAATTACCTCATTTTTTTTTTGTTGGTTAGTCAATATTTATATAATTTAACAGCCCACATTGTCCTACAAACTGTGTGGTACGTTATCCTGGTCCTCCAAATATATTTTAAATCGTATGTTTAAGAAACATACAGATTTAAAATTCATAAAATTGAAAATTAATTTATTTTCTGCATTTTGGTATTGGAGTAGCTGAGTTGGTTCAAATACGCATTTTTATCTAAATTTGATAGTTTTTGAGTGACAAATGATTTAGAATCTAAAAAATGTGTTGCGAAAGTTGCCAAGTGACTAAATTGAAGTTTAAAGATTTCAAAGTGTAATCGGGTCTTATTTCAGTTTAAACCGTTGTTCTTTAATTGTTAATCATGCGCACCCACTCGATTTTTAAACTGCCGCCGCGCGCCACACTATTTGGTGCATCTCAGTCGCACTTATGCATATTGTACGTACTTGTGAAAAATTCCCAACAAATACTTGACACAGTTTTTTTAATAATTTATTTATCTATCAAATTAATTACTGCATTGTGCTAATTAAATACGCAAATCATTATATTAAGCGTATCACAATATATTAAGCGTATTTTTATTTTCGTTTTTTTTTTGTGTGGTTGATTCAAAATATTTTTCTATTGAATATATATTTATTTTTTTTTTTTTGGTATATATTTATTTGTATTATTGGAGCTTTGGAGCAAAAGTCTCATAGACTACTGGTACTCCAGTCTAAGCACAAATATATACAGTAATGCAATCATGACCGTAAGACTACACAAAGAAACAAACTGTATATAAAAGAATCAGATTAGTAGACACGTTATCTCCCAAACACTTAAAGGCAGTTCAGGAAAATACTTTAAAAAAATTGGAGTGGGAAACCAAAGGAATCAATATCGACAACGAAATAATCTCCCACCTACGATTTGCGGTTGACATTGTTGTAATAACAGATCACCCATATGGTCCTATATAACGCTCACTGAGTTAGATACGACCTTAATGAAGTTGGTTTAAACATACATTTTGGAAAGAATGCACGACAAATCTGGTACCTAGCGAAAATCCAAAAGTGGGCTGCCACAAAATAGGATTAGCTAAAAATACTTAGGGCATGCACTTCAAATTGCCTGGGATAACCAAACTGCTGAACTGCAAAGAAAGATCACTTAAGCATCGGCCGCATATGGAGCTCTATCAGACATCTTCAAAAGGAAAATGCCAAATTATTTGAAAAAGAAGACGTTTCATCAATGTGTGCTTCCAGTCATGACGACATACTTTTCTTCACAAAGATTACAGCAACTAAACTCAGAGTAGTCTAAAGAATAGAACTCTCGCTACTTGAATTGACCCTTGAAGACAGGGTTAAAAACGAAGAAAAAAATAAAGACAGGCGTCACAGATGAAGTGGATCTGAATTGCCAAAATAAATGACGAGCAGTGCACCAAAAAATTACAGTTTGAAAACTACAAGCAGAAAAGCAGAACAAGCAGAGGAAGACCAACTACATGATCGACAGTCGACGTCAAAAGAATGGCACGGAATTGGCTGCGGAAAGCTCAATACCGACAAAATTGGAAGAAATTAAGGAAGGCCTATGTTCAACTTTGAACGCAGATGGCTTGATAATGATAATGATGATCAATTGTAAGTAAAACTATATTATGTAATTCTTGATATTTATTACAATTTGGTAATTTATTATCTACGTTTTTTAAATAAATAAAATACCTATTAAGTATTTAATTATTTATAGTCTATTATAATTGATTTTTCTCATAAGTTGAAAGTGAAAATCATAGTACACAATTGGTTAGTACGTAATTGGACAAAAGATTAAAAGTTGTCATTTTATTTAAAAGTCCAATATTATTTAATACATAAAGTAATTGTACAGAAGATTGATTAATCATAACACTCAGTACAAGTATATTTAGTTTCACAAAAATGTGTGTTAATATGTAAATTACAAAATTTTAATCAATGTAAGTACGTATAATATATTTAAAAATCGAGTGGACGCTCATAGTTAACAAATAAAAAACAAGGGCCTAAATTAAAATAACCCTTGTTTACTCCTCAGCATCATGACATTGAATGTTTAAACTACAATTTAGATACTTGGCATCCGCAAAAATAATAATTTACGCTTGAGTTTCCAAGTTTCGCAAATTGTATTTTAGCATTTTTCCAATATTAAATCGCTTATAATTCGAAAACTATCAACTTTACACAATTTTTTTTAATACTCCAAAAAGCGTCTTCCGAATGAAACAAGGTGATTTTTGGTATTTGTTGAAAACAATTGTTTAAACGGCTACCCAAAAATTTCAAACAGCACCCTTCAGATTTGTTTAAAGGGCACATTTTTTAACAGAAATCCGCAAAGCAACTGAATCGGAAACCTTTTTTTTTACAAATATAACAAAAAAGAGAAAGTTTAATGTCTACAAAGCTCTGGTAACAAGTGTGCTGTTATACGGTGAGAAACATGACGATTAACAAAGAGAAACAGAGGACAGGTAGAAGCTACGAAAATTAGTGTAATATGGCGAACGCTAAAGACTTTGAAAAGGGAGAGGATAAACATGAAGGAATTAGGGAACGCAAGAAAATATAAAGTACAATAACGGATGATATACAACGAAAACAGCTCGTATGGTAAGGTCAAATACAGCGAATAGAAAACAATAAACTAGTATGGATACCTACAGGAAGATACAAGAGAGGAAAGCCGAAAAGAATGTGGATTAAAGGAGTAAGAAAATCAAGGAGCTCCAAAGAACTTGGAGAAGGACAATGGAACAACGAACATGAAGGGAAATTGGGCATCAGACAACGTCGAAAGACGTTCTAAACCTATTTTATATACCTATTATATCTATGAGCAAATCTAGTATAAAAGTGGTAATTAATTAGTTTATTTATTAATTATTAATAATTTGTTAATTAATTTGGTAAGCATTTCTCAGTCAACTTTTTTTTATTTTACAAACACTCGGTCGTACAAACATGGTCAGCTTGTCAAACTAGATAAATATTGATATGGTATAAATATACTAATTTAACATATTGTCTTAAATGCTTGAGCAGCCATTATTTATGTTTAAATAATAAATTATTTATGCACAATAACTATCTATTAACGTAAATGTTGTTATTTTACAAAATTTCAACTGTCGTATTCTAGTTTCTATAAAAATCAGTATAATTCAAATAAAATATAGTCCAACTACAAAACATTATAAATATTAAGAAAATAATCTTACCAGTTATTGAGAACACAGCTGCTGACAGACTGAAGCAACAACTTCTTTGATAAGTTATCAAACCGTTTCCCGATATCGAATTTATATTCTGTTTAATAAATTGTAATGTTTTTATTGCGAGCATGAAATCAACAAGTGGTGTTGACTTATCAGATTTATTGTAAGAATTTTAGTGGTAATTAACAACATATATATTCTTTTATTTTAGTCTATAATTTATTATTTAACAGTATAAAGTACCATTAACATCTAATATTCAATCCCTCATTTTAGTCGATTTCATTGTATCAATTTAAAAGCAGTGGCAGTACTTTTAGAGATTTGGAACATTTAGAGTTAATATATCGTATACGATATATCAACTTTAAATGTTCCAAACTTCCTCGAGAGGAGTTCGCCAGGGAGATGTTATCTCACCCAAGCTAATCACACTTGGACTGGAAGACGTGTTCAAAGACATTAATTGGGCACATAAAGGAATAAATGTTAATGAAAGAAAACTGAGTCATTTGAGATACGCTGGTGACATTCTAATATTCACTACAAGTTTCGAAGAGCTACAGACCATGATGACGCAACTATTTTAAGCTTCGGAAAAAGTAGGTCTTAAGATGGATTTTAAAAAAACAAAAATAATGACAAATACACCGAAAATTAGATAAATAACGTTGAACGACATAAATTTGTAAATAGTAAGCGAGTACATCTACGTGGGAAGATAATGAAAGGTAATGTTCTGAAACTATTTTTTTTGTGGCAGTTTAAAGTAATTACTATTTAAATGGAAGTAAGCCACAATTAAAGGTTAAAGTACGTTTATTGACGTTTTAATTGCTTACTCCCATTTAAATACACTTGAGGGCAAAAAAATCGACTGAAAATTATTTTGCGAAAGTACGTCTCCTATTTAAATGAAAAAAGGTGTAAATTTAAAAATATTTAGTATACAATTATTAACCTTATTATTGAGTTTAAAAAAAGTTTTGATTTTTGGTAAATCGGGTGACGTATTACAAATAAATAATACAACACGTAGAGAAGAGGTCATAATTTGACCCATTGAAATTGACACGCACACACTTAACACATTTGGTTAACATAATACATCAGTCAGTTAAGTTCGCAAATTTATAACAAATGGGTACCACATCCGTCAAAGCAGCTCAAGCAGTAGCATTATTGAGAGAAGACCTGAGCCAGAGAGCCGTGACAAATCGACTAAATTTAAGCCAATCTCCTGTGTTCCGAGTGTATCATCGGTACCAAGATACTGGTGATTGTGTCGGCCGACAAGGATGACGTCGTAAACGAATAACCACAGAGAGAGATGATCGATTTCTTGTACCTAAATCTCTGAGAAATCGACATTTGATTGGTGCTAATCTCAAAGAAGAGCTTAGGGAGGTCCGAGGTGTGGTTACCAGTGTTTGGACAGTCAGAAGGAGACTGAAAGCAGCCAACCTGACACCAAAAAGGGCAGCTACTGGTCCCAAGCTAACTGCAGCCCAGAAGCAAAGACGACTAGAATTTCAATGACTATCAATGGAGTCAGGTAATAATATTCTTCTTCTTCTTCTTCAGCCTTAAGTATTATTAGCCTTAATTATTCTCCGACGAAAGTAGAATCTGCCTACATGGCAACGACAAGAGGCGCCAAGTCTGTAGAAGGCCAGGGGAACGATTTGCTCAATGTTGTATACGAGAAACTGTGTCATATGGAGGCGGTTCTTGTATTTTTTGGGCAGGCATTTCCATGGATGGAAAAACCGATCTGGTTTTCGTGCCTGATGGAGGATGTGGAGGTTTAACGGCGGATTGTTACATCAGAGATATTTTGGTGGAACATGTGGTTTGATACGCGGGATTTATTGGTAATGCCTTTATTTTATTGCATGATAATGCACGATGTCATACCGCACGAGTCACCACCACCTATCTGACTGAGATCGGTATACCTACAATAAATTGGCCTACGTTGAGTCCGGACATAAATCCAATAAAGCCTGTTTGGGATGAACTTAAACGAAGGGTCTCGAGCAGAAATCGTGCACCAAGGAGAAATGATGATACCATCATCAATTACAAAATGATTCATTTTGTAATTGATGATTTCTCTGTTCATTGCGTCTTTCTTGGGATAGTTCCAATGATCAATATTTAAGAAACTCTGTTCGTATTGCATATTGTTTTTATAATGTGTCTTCCAAATAATAAAATAGCAGTTTTTGTAAATTCAATAATAAAGTTACTGCTGGCACATTACATCTTGTTATTTTCATACTTCTTATATTAAAAAAGAAGGTGTAATCTCAAATATCGCTTTAGAGTCGATTGATTTGCACTCAAGTGTAGTAATTAATGAAAGTTAATAAAGAAACTGCCGAAATCACCAGAAGAATAAGGTTAGCGTGGGCAGGATTTGGAACACTTAGTTGGATCTTGAAAAGGGCTAAAACAGAACAATAATTGAAAGCCAGAATTTACGATCAGTGGGTCCTCCCTATACTCACGTATGATTCACATACGTGGACACTCACCAAGACTAATATCGATAAAATAGTAAAGGCACAAAGAGCGATGGAATGCTCGGAGTGAGACTTATAGACAAAAAAACAGACAAATGTATTAGAAGCAACACCAAAGTAAAAGACGCAGGAGAACATGCTGCCAAATTAAAATGGAGCTACGCAAGATACAAATGAGATGACATTAAGAAGATCGGAGGACACAACTGGAAGCAAGTGGCGCAAAATAGAAAACACTGGATTGATTTGGGGGAGGACTATATCCAAAGTTGGATTACTTAAGGCTGAAGAAGAAGAATATTGTATTCATTTTTAAGTGTGAAATCTATTTATGTTTTAATATACAGTCAAAAAAGTAAACTTATGTAGTTTTGTATTGTATTATTTAATATAACGGATCTGAATATCATTGCACTCGTTCGAGTAATCTTCTTATTTTTAGATATTATCCCTGAAGTGAGAATACAGAAGATTTAACAACTGATTTGATCTTGCTTTCTTCAAAGAAAGTTATTTTCCTATGAAAACATTTTTTAAGATATGTGAACAATTAATACTTTTATTTACTGATCTTCGAAATGCTTCTTGATTTACCTGGGAGAAAATTTCCAACTTTTGCTTATCAAGCCGCTTTCGAACGTGTTTTGGCTCCATTTTAAGCAAATGCAATATTCTTGGTGCACACTGATTTTAGATACCTAAAATTTTAACTTAAATTTTTTTTAACTATCTATCATCTCTATCCATCAAGAATTTTATAATGTAGACCTAGATACGATGCTTATCGTAATCGAGGACGATCTTTAACAAGATGGTCAGACGACATCAAAAGCATCTAGCACAACTTCATTCAGGGTGCTTAAGATCGGATTCAATTGAATTATTTACGAAAGGACTATGTTCAGCAGTGGACTCAAAATGACTAATGATAAAATTATGGTGATCTATCGTATCTAAAACCTCTACCAAATGTCTTCTATATTCCACAATATTCAAAAACCCTATCCCATATATTTTAGAGTCGGTTACTGTATCAGAGTTTAGTTTTGTTGCGTTTTAGGCGTTTGTTTAAAAAAATGACTTTTAAGTTAAGTGCTTAAATCGGTCCATATTCGGAACTTCAAAGAAATCAAGCATTTTGTAAACCATGCGTCAAATCGGTAAGTTTTTTTTTCTTTCTGATCCCATAACTAAATTGTAAAGCAGTATTAAAATTCTAATTATTGTTATTTTTTTAGATTCTTAAATTTCAATTAATAAAACATAATTTGTTGGCCAGCATTATGGAGCAAAACTTTAGAAACAATTTGGAAAAACATAATTCCTCTTAGTTAAAATAATGAATGGTTTGCAAATATAAGTCTTATTCAAACAGGAGTGTAGAAATAAATTTCAGACTTACTACAACCTATTTTATTAAGCAATCTATTTTATTAAAATTCTAAAACAATTACACATCGTAACTAAAATAGATTTACCAGGTATGTTGCAAATAGTATTAATATCGCCTATTTATGGCTTGAGGGAGAATGTCAATAGTACTTACATTCCAGTGCAAGGATTGTTGTGTGAGGTTGTGAGAAAGGCGTGTACTGAACGCTCATTTATATTATATTGTCTGTTGGCCTTTAACCTATTACACATCAAAATGGAAGACAGTCTGGAAGCTAAAAAATACATTGATGTTACTTTTTGTAGACTACAACATAATTTTTAACATTACAAAAAATATTATCAATTATCTCTCTTTTAGCCATAACAACAATAGGTGGCTTCAAGACTGGTCTCCTCAAGACACGTTACACATATTTTAATATGTAATAAATTTAACACCAACAGACAATATTATAACATAAATCAATGTTTAGTATACGCCTTTCTAATAAAAATCCTTGCACAGGCACGTAAGTACTATCAATAGTCTCCCTCAAAACCTAGTACATAACCTAACATAAGTAATATAAGCACTATTTGCAACATACCTGATAGAATTCCTTTAGTTACGAGAAAGACACATTTAAATTTGATTTATGCCATGATGATTGTATCCAACATTCCTCTGTATAAGTATAGTATAGTTTTTAGTTTTTTTTAAACCATTCGAATAAATCCTTACTGGAGAAGCGTACATTGAGAAAACAAACCATGAACAATGCTAAATAAAATGTATTTCAAAAATTAAGTGGGAATTAGAGAGCAATTTCTTATAATATTATCGTGGATGAAAAGACAGATGCGTATGCGTCAGGTATTTAGTTAATTTGATGATTAGAATTTTATACAAAAATTTTGCGTGAAAACCTCATGTAGTTGCTATTAAATAATGGAAAGAAACAAACAATTTAACTATTGGTAAATTTATACTAGATAGTTTAACAAATCTCTTTGACTAAACCCTATACTCACGACGAAATTAGTTTTAATGCTTTCAGATGCTGCGGAATATACACTCACCGGCACGAAAAACGGAGCACTTGCATTTTTAAAATAAAAACTTTTAATTTCA